TCACCCATGACTGTATTTCCTCCTGCGCGTCCAATCTCATTGTTAAGTTTGCCGATGACACTACAGTGCTCGGACTTATATCCAACAACGATGAGACAAACTATAGGACAGAGGTGCAACAACTAGAGTCATGGTGCCACGACAATAACTTGGTCTTAAACACCAAAAAGACCAAGGAGATCATTGTAGATTTCCGGAAGAAGGGTCATAACAACCATCTGCCTCTCTTCATTGGCAGTGAGGCGGTGGAGAGGGTGAGCAGTTTTAAATTCTTGGGGGTAACTGTGACCGAGGACCTGTCCTGGGGCAACCATATCACCTCAGTTGCACGGAAGGCCCAACAGCGCCTCTACTACCTGAGGAGACTGCGGAGCGCACACATTCCCAGATCTCTGATGTTGAACTTCTACAACTGTGCCATCAGCAGCGTTCTGACGTATGGATTTCTAGTGTGGTTCCCCAGCTGCACCAAGGCCGATCAGCAAGCACTCCAGCGGGTGGTGAAAGAAGCTGGCAGAATTATTGGAACAAGTCTGCCAGAGATCAGTAATATCTTCCCCACTCGCTGTCTGAGGAGGGTGCACAGTATCCTGCGGGACCAACATCACCCTGCGCGCCACCTTTTCCATCTGCTGCCCTCAGGGAGAAGGTACAGGTCTATACAGGCCAGAACATCCAGACTGGCCAACAGCCTGTATCCACAGGCTGTGAGGCTCCTGAACTCTCTGCCCCCCTCTCACGGACAATAACCATATCCAACTTCTTAATAGCAATGAACTGGTCTGCATTGGTGCATCATATCTTTATTCTCTTCCCCCTCCTGCCCCCCCCCTCTTTCTTAAATAGATAACTATCATATCTGATATCATATCTCACAGTACAATAATATTGAATGGGTTGCATGTTGTACTTTGTCATGTTTCTCAGGTCTTTGTCTGAATTTCTACCAACATTACTTGTCAGTTCTCATGTTATTGCTAAGGATTGTCTATTGCATTGGAGTCACACTGGGTTAAATATGTACACTTGGGTTTTAAGGGGTATTTATTATTTTCTTCTTTTTTGGGTTGTATGGAAGCCCCAAACGCAATTTCATTGTTCTTGACAATGACAATAATAAATAAATACTAAATAAATAATATGTCTCTTGACCAGACTGTTGTGTCTGTTCAAATTTTAAACAAAAAAATCATAAATCTCAAAACAATCTGTATATACAAATGTTCTGAAGTGCACATATTTTCTCTTGTGCAGACAGGGTGTCAGTCTAAATTAATTGAGACTTTTCTACTAATCCATTTAAATAACCTGTTAGTAGTCATACTACAAAGAGAATCCATGATAATTGTATGGGTACTGCCTAGAAGCCTTTAATCCACAGACTCGTTCATGAAGAGGACAGACAATGAAAAAAATGACCATAGTCAGTTTTCAACAGCTTATTGTACTCCCAGAAGAAGCTCACAGATTAAAGGATTTTAAGCTCGCTTATAAAGAACTGGATTTCTTTTTTATCTCGTTGTATGAGCCACACATCCACTTCACCATTTCTCTCTTATGACAAGTCAGACATGAAGACAGTGCTCTTCTTTCTTCTCACTTTGTCTCTGGTGGCTATACATATTATTACCAAATATGTACATTACTTTTCACAGAATAATGTGATTAGCTCATTCAGTAATGTGCCTAACTACTTTATTTTCACTTCACTTGCTCTCATCATTTTTCTTTGATGAAACTGAGAAATAATTATTACAATTTTGACTTAGTGAAGTGGCTCTGCAGTAATTTTTGGCATTTTGTTGTACTACTAAACACAACATTTCATAGATAAATGTTTCTTAAATAGATAACTATCATATCTGATATCATATCTCACAGTACAATAATATTGAATGGGTTGCACTGTTGTACTTTGTCATGTTTCTCAGGTCTTTGTCTGAATTTCTACCAACATTACTTGTCATGTTCTCATGTTATTGCTAAGGATTGTCTATTGCATTGGAGTCACACTGGGTTAAATATGTACACTTGGGTTTTAAGGGGTATTTATTATTTTCTTCTTTTTTTGGTTGTATGGAAGCCCCAAACGCAATTTCATTGTTCTTGACAATGACAATAAATAAATAAATACTAAATACTAAATACTAATGACTTTCTTGTATTGCTGGAATATCAGGAGTTCAGCCGGGGTGAGAGTTATTTCTCAAATTCTCCAAGCTTGCATGTAATAGATCAGTAAATACAAAAAAGTAGATGTTTGAAGGTCCATTTATGTCATTGTAAGATTACAAAATGTAAAATAAATCCTCAGTAGATGTTCTGAAGAGGACATATATTGTGGGCAACGACTACTTCCTGATTGTAAAGGCACTTTCAGTTTGGAGGAGCAATTAAGGACCCAGCAGTTAAACATTTAAAGTTATAATAAATGTGGATATGTATTACTTTTCATTTAACCAAAAGGAATTTGAGGTTAATAATTACCCATCATTCCTAGGCTACTCCCTAGCAGTAGGAAGTAACTGCAAGTAACTCCCTATGCACAATCTCAGGGGCAATGAGTACACGTTCCCTGAAACACTGTATGTACTTCCAAAGTACTTAAGATGGCTTAGATGGCTAAAAAGATTCATAATAAATAGAAATTTTAAAAAAGTAAATTCTCATAATCACAATGGAAAGTCAATGATATGTTTAGGTAAACATAAAAAATATAAAAATGTAAAACTAAAAATTTTCCTTCCTTTTTGGTATTGTTAATTTGTTACTCTAACAGTTATAAACTGCATTTTTGCAGCATAATTGTTTTTTTTTTAACATCTAGGGGGCAACCAGCTTCCTCTATCTTTATTTATGCAGCCCTGAAATTAAACAAATTTGTTTCTTATTGCCTTTTTGATAGTATTTACATGCATAACTTAGTGTTTAGTACGTGGGTATGTCACTAAGATGTGTCTATGCATTTTAACTTTTTCGCATGTAGTTTAATGACCTTTAATGGTATGATTGCATTAGCCAAAACAGATACTGATAATTTGAGTTTTTATTCAAATTTTTAAATGACCAGGACAATACTGACCATCATCTATGGGCGGAAGACTAGCTGAAGGGTTCCCACAGTGCAGACAAAATGACTTGGCACATTGTTCATATGTTCCTTAATGTTACCACACTGCACTATGATGATTTGCTGCAATATGTCTGCTCCTGGCTTGACCTGTACCCCAGATCTGAAACATGTTATGGCATCAGGGACTGAAAGTTCCTCATGCGTCCCTTGTTGCCTCCACACGACACCCACGGGAAGTGGAAATATACACAAGAGCAGACGCATTATGTCACCCATCTCGTGGTCTAATTTACCACTTTGTTTAGAAGCATTGATTGTTTATTTATCATCTGCAAAATCTTTCACAGCTTCCTGCAGATATGCTGGCCTTGTGAATGAAAGAGCAGGATGTTAACAGCTGCGATGCTATCGCATGCAAAGTTTGGATACAGCTTTGAAAGACGCTGAAGGAACGGCAGGAGGATTAGGGAGGAAAGGCAGCCGCGGAGTCTGTGCAGACTTCTGGAGAAACGGTGGGGGGAGACGGGGTTTCTTGCACAATGTGAATTATGTTTCCAGTAAAAAGCTTTCTTGGAAAAATTCAGATACTATTGCAAATGTGCACCTTCAGCAAGGGAATCACACTTTGGCATCCACATTGATTCATATACTCTTTGACGGTTGTCTGACGTACCCCATCTGGATAGATCATATGATCCTTAGCCAAACCCAAGTTCATCTTAATCTGTTGTTGTAGAAATTGTCTCCAAAGCCCTCAAACCCTGAAGAAGTCGCCACATATTGCCTTTCTTTCTTCTTCTCCTTATTTTAGAAACCTACCTCCTTCTCTCACTCCTCTTCCTCCTGATTTAGGCCCAAGTCTCACCCACCCCTCCTGTTTCAAGAGTCACACCATCTTCGGTTTATCTTTTCTTTGGCCAGTGCCCAGGCAGTGAGGGCCCCTACACCCCCTCTTAAAGGGCTTTTCTGTTACATTATAAGGTCCCCGGGTACTACACTGACCTGTAGTAACATTAGTTTGAGAACTACAGGCTGCAGATACTACACAAGCGAGGAGCACTGAGGATGAAAAATAGTGGGAAAGACGTGTTGCTGTAAAACTGCCAAAAGGGCCATTAATCAAGCTATTGATATGTTTACGCCAAAGACCAGGAAATTCAGGTCATGGTGTATCATTTGGATTGCAAATGCACAAATATCCTGCACAGTGAGCATTACTGGGACCCTTACTCCAGAGGCACTAGAAGTTTGAGTGCAGGACAACCTTTTCATTGAAGTCGAAGCAGTCTTACCCATGTCGTCCTCACGGTAGATTATCGAGTGGTGGTCTGCTGGACTGCTGGTGTATCTGTCAGATGGCTCTATGTGATAAGTCCCATTTTCTGTATGGATAGTTCCCTCAAACTGTCCCTGTAACACAGAGCCATGGCAGGCGGAGGCAGGTTCACCTGCATGACCAGGGCAGGAGAGACGGGGATTAGAGAGAGGAGAGATTATATATGATACTGACAGAAACCTGAATACAGGAGGCAGCAACTGCACACACAAGGTGAGGTATGGGGTAAGAGAGAAACCAGCCTTTTGCAGCTCAGATTATTTTTTTAAATCTTTTTATATATTTTGCATATTCTGTTGTATTTCTTTTGTTGCACATTGCGTAGTTCTTCATAATGGTTTCTAAATTTTCATTCACTTTATTTATCTATTCTGTTTGGCATCTGTGGACAGCAAAGAAAGAATTTCATTGTACAGGGAAATCCGTTTCTTTCCATTGCATATGAAAATAAACCTTGAAACCTGAGACTTGAATGAGGACTTTTGGAATTCTGCAGAGGATCTTTTATCCTTGTGCCCAGCACGGTTTATTTTGGCCTAATCAATGTGGAGCTATTACTAAAGATGTTTCTTCAGGTGGAACTTTCCAGATCAAGCCCAGGTTAAATTCTGATTGTAGTGAAATTGGTTAAATAGATTTTTCCTTTTTCTTTTTTTGCAAATGTAGACAAATTGTTTGGAGTCCCACAGGATGACAGGATATCTCTCTGATACCAACCTTCTAGTATTCCTGAGTAGATGTGGAAAAGATCAACATACGTTGAATCATTTTCACTGACCAGTGTAAAGTCTTTGGAAAATACTGCACTGTTTTGCCTCAAAAGCAGGTGGAAAGTCCTGAAGGGAAGAAAAACACAAACAGCTTACAGATGTGGTCAAAGCTTTGTAGTGTTGTGGGAAGTATGCAGATCTATAATCTCCTGAGATATATGGACTAATGAGTGACTAATGTCTGACATGTGTTACAGGTTTAGGAGCAACAACAAAGAGTTTGCACAACCAGGTACTTCCTATTAGTTTAACCAAAGAGTTGCATATAGACAGACATTTTCAACCATTCGCCCAGACGGAAATATAAATTTACCTGTGAAAAGCAGTAAAATTCAAATGCAGTGTATAGTCCTGAGATTGTGTGGCTCTCTTGGCTCTCAAGTGCCTCCTGTGAAGATCTTCCCTGTCATAAGACAAGCCCTCGTAATACTTTATGTAAGGACTGATGCTACTCACGGCACCTGTTGGAAAGGAAGATGTTCCTATTACTGAGGAAAAGCAACATTTTGAAAGTATTTTTGTTTCTAATTTTCAGGTAACTCTGATTTTAACAGCTTGTGACTGCAATTCTCGATGGCTGGATATCAGCATCTGAGCCAAATCCTGATTGATAGTGATCTATTCCTGCCTTATCCGCACTTGTAGTTGATTACAGTTTGTGGGCATCTGCTTGATGCAGGAACAGTTTGGTGATAATCTGTACCATTTTCAAAATGATAGAGCACCATTTCACAAAGCAAAAGTGATAACTAAAGGCTTACAATAAATCAAATTAACATTATGTTCCTATTGCTGAGAAGTTCCAGTCACCCGTTTCAACTTATCTAATTAGTGGTCATAGTGGGGTCTCAAGTCTGTTGCAAGGCCAACACAGAGACAGACAACCATTCGCACCTACAGGCAATTTAGGATAACCAATTAAACCGCATGTATTTGGACTGTGGGAAAAAGCCAGAGTAAGAGAGAATCCACACAGAAAAGTCTTACCCAGATGGTGTATTTGAACCCCAAACCTTCTTGTTGTAAGGCACCAATGCTATAAGCACAACGCCACCATGCTAGCCAACTGAGAAGCTCACTAAACCTTATCCGACTGAGAACCTTTGGTCGGTCCTTATAAAGCAGGGGATCAAACGGAAACACTTGACCAGCTTCAAGCACTGATAAGGCAGGAATAGTATGCCATAAATAAAGATAACAGTCCAGAAGCTGATATCACATTGTGGTTCGAAATATAATACAAACATGTTCAAAAAGATCAGATGAACAAAATCTGAAGGTCCCGAATTTGCACCACTGCCAAAGCTTGGTCATGACTGCAAGCAGCCTTTATAGAGTGATTTGTACTTGGCACACTACACCACAAAGTCAATCCTGATGCAGATGATACATTCCTAATCTTAAAAAATCCTTGTTTATTACAGGAAACATATTCGGTTTTTTAAACACAATCTTTACTCTGTTTTGTTTTCCAGCAAGTTGTGTTTGCAGCTGTAGGAGGTTAAACAGCAGGGGAGTTGTTTTGGAGTTGAGCCTTGTTATCTAGGGCCATTCTAAGATGCTAAGGTTTTGAAATAAATGTTGCTGTGCTTTATTAATGTAAACCTAAACCAGAAATGTGATTGTTACTAAGTGTCAACATTCACTCTCTCAGTAAGCAATGGTTTGTAAAAAGTTACTTTAAAATTAGACATGAATCCAAGTCTGCTATTCATTCTATTAGTAGCTTTATAGTGCAGTGGTTTACACATGGGCATAGTAAGAAAAACATCCACAGTTCAATGACAAATAGATACATATTCCTTGGAGGATGTGCCAGGAAGCATCTGGTGTAAAAATTTGCCAAATCAGATATGTGGGGCTCCCCCTCTTGAATGAGAGCATCAAAAGTAGCTGCTTCTAAATTCTCAAAAATATCTTTCTTCTTTTTGGAAGATTTTTTAATTAGTTTCATTGTTAAAGCAAAGACATATTAAACATTTTGAATATACATAACTCGTTGGACTTCAACATGACTTCCGATCAAGATTATAATGACACAAACTTTGCTAAGCACATTCATGCTCCAAGGGGAAAAAATAAATCCAGCAATAAACCCAAATTTATCCTAAATAATCTTTCCAGACAATATCCTCTTGGCACAATCACAACAATTTTAACTGTCTGTCTGCCTAAAACTAATCTGCCATCTACTGAGTGTTTTCTGGCTAACTGCAGAAACCCTTGAGGGAAGAAAATTATAATTCCCTGTAGCTTGCAGCCATTTTTAGTTGCCCATCATGAGTGACTCCCGCATAAATACACTATAATGCACTCCAATAAGCAAGACTAAGTGAGCAAAACATTTTTCTCCACTGCTGATAACACTTTGCAAGAGCACACTTCTGTACAGCATTCCTGAGGGGACAGGTTGAGACATGTCTCGCCCAGGACAGACCAGTCCACCAAAACACAGCCATTTCATACACACACAGACACTCAGGCAGACTGACGCTCACATACGTACATGTGACTACAAACAGCCCTGCTTATTTTAGGTGCAGTCCTAAGACCTCTTATTCAGACAGTATTTAGAATCTACCTGTAATCCATTCATGGCAGCCCACAAGCAAAAGCAGCAAACAGCAGTGTTGGACCCCCATCGTCTCCTTATTGGGGCGCTCTTCTCCTTTCCTCACCTCTCTCTGTCTTTCTCATCTCATTTCTCCTTACCTTTCTCTTCGGCTTATCTCGTACCTGTGGTTTCCCACACTGGAATGTGACTACTTATAAAATTCAAGCCATGACACAGGAAGATATGAACACTGACACACTGGAGAGGCACATTCAGACTTGTTTGCTAACAGATACCTGCGCAGTTGCAGGAAGTTTTTCAAATGAAGTTGTGAGATATGTTTCTCAAATAGTTAGCATAGCGCAGAGATTCTCACTTTTTTTTCTGGTATGTCCAAAAAATCAGCCCTCACAACCAGCATATTCTGGAGGGGGAGATCAATTACTACTAATAAAAAAGGATAAAAGTTGAATTTAAAGGAACTAAAGGTCCTCAAGATGAAATTTCCCCAGAGTTAGAGAGCTCCTGGTGGGCAAGATTAAATGTGACAGAATCAAAAGTCATAGAACTGCTGTGAAAAAAGTATTCGCCCCTTTGCCCCTCAGATTTCATCCTTTTTTAGGTTATTGATCATCAAATTATTTTTTTAGTAGCCAAAATAACCAGATTAAATACAAAATGCATTTTTTTAAATGATGATTTCATTTGTTAATGGAAAAAAAAACCTCACCAAACTTGCCCTGTAAAAGTAATAGCTGCCAAGGGCTGCACGACCAGTTCTTATATTTAGGGGCCAATTACTTCTTCCACATATAGAGACTAGGTTTGGATAGATATATAAATAAAGGAATCAAATTCAAAGAAGCACATTTTCTGATTAAAAGTCAACAGAATAACACAGTAGTTGTTTGGTAAAACAAAGCATACAAGCTGTAAATAAGTTGCTTGATCATGTTGCAGTTTTTAGTGTTGCAGTGATTCAGAAATGATTCTGAAAAAGGAAGATGTCTCCCACAGGTCTAATTATTGACCCTTGTGTAGAAAAGAAAGTGCTGAAATGGTTCCTTCTCATAATAAATACGAGAAGGAAGTAATCATATGCATGACTAACACTGTGTGAAGGGTATTTTGTGTCCTCATCCTGAGCAAAGAGGTGACAGTTTAAGATTTTAGAACAATAGCAGAACCAGGACATCAGTCGACCTGGAAGTGATGCAAATAAAACAAAGGTTTTACTGCTTAAAATAAAAGCCACATGTGTCACTTCTGCAACAAGAAAAGCAACATGTTTACAACAGCTTGCCACATAATTAGAGATCTTGGGAATCAGGGATTATGTAATGGTAAAGAAAGCAGTCATAATCAGCCTAGATTGGATGTGGGAAGTGCTACTAAATTAATGTGTGGATATTTATGGCTTAGAGTTGTGCATTTATACAGTCATGGTAAAAACTGTTTAAATGGCTTAATTATTTTTGTTTCATATCAGAAACTAATAACAATCACCTAGTCCTTAGCAGGTGCTAAAAACCGGTAAATAGTTTTTACATTTTACTTGTGGCATTATCTATTTAACCGTAACAAAGCCAAAATGACGAAGCTGTGTGGAAAAACAATAAGTGCACCCTTGCTACTTCCATAGGAATTAAAAGGGAAAATGGCAGTCGGGTCAAAAGCACTTCGTTAACTGAACATCAGCAAATCTGAGCATCTCAATAAAAGCAGAGATTTGCAGTTTCTAAAGAATTTGAAGTCGACATTATACGTGAGAAGGATTATTCACGCAGCGCAGTTAAGGTTTAAGTTGCAACTGTGCAAACCACAAGACTGCTGGAACAATGTCCTTTGTGCAGATGGGGCCAAAATGGTTTGGCCTTAACGCAGACACACAACTCCATGTTGGAGAAAACCAAAACACGGCATATCAACACAAGCGTCTCATACCACCTGTCAACCACGGGGGAGGAAGGGTGATCATTTGAGCTTGTTTTGCAGCTTTGGGATCTGGACACCTGACAAATGTGAGGCCGTCTCCCCGACACGTTTTGTTGTTCATCTCAGCTCATATTTACCTGATTTTAAAACCTGCTGAGCACCAGATGTTTGATATTTTGCCGTGATAAGTAAAATCTTAGAATTTCAAGAGGATGTAATATAAGTTTGATCTATTTTTACATTTAGAGCTTTTGTTTTGTTTTGTTGTTTGTTTTTTGTCAAATGTATGTCAGCAGATGTCCTAATTTGCTTTCTTGACAACATAAAATGAACGCAGGTTGGAAGCAACTTTATTTTATTTATTTTCTGTATTTAAACAGTTTCAGTCTTAAGTAAATAACAGGTACAAATGATCTGAGAGGTTTTATTGACATATCACATTGTGTTGATGATATTTGCATTGATAAAAACGTCTCAAGGGACTTCCTCACATTGTCCCGGAGAAGGATTTCTAGTTATCGACATCCTGGAGCTCTCAGTGGGAACTGGAGCCAAGTGAATCAGACCGGATTAAAATGGTTTCCATATTGTTAGAGTTTAGCAGCCATGTTTGTTATTTTTTTATTTTTTTATGAATCCACAGCAGATTTTATTGCATGTTTAACTTTGATTCCTTTTTGTTCCTGTAAACCTAATTTGCACTCATCCTTCCTGTTTTAATATTTATCGTTTATGAAGGACTAAATCAGTCGGCCCGGTTTTGCGATCATGCAAAGTTGTCCTTATGTTGTGTTCTCATGGTGTAGTAGTAGAAATTTGTCTAGTTAAGTCTTATGCATCAGACCGCTTTATTTTTGAAGTTTTATAGTATGTCTGTGCACACGTGGACACATAAGATCTGCCTTTCTAAGAGACAGTGGGATAACGTCCTCACTTAATACAGCTAATATTGAAATTTACTAATACTGGATGGATGTTTCAGCTGGGTCACATCCAGCCACAGATTTCTAACTTGGCCTGCAGACGGGTTCTTGGCCGGATAAGCTACTACAGATGAACATATTACTATCAGTTTACTCCAACATGTCTGTTTTTACAGCCTGGTTTAGAGCTTCCCCTCCCCCATCCCTTAATCATTCACCGGCAGGCTCCCCGAAAGGTCTCCAGGGTTCCGGTGATTGGCTGAAAAGGAATCACCCGGATTCGAAGACACACCCACCAGGCTCACACAACTTTGGCCACACACACATATCATCAAGAAGTCTGCTTGTGGTTGTATTATCAATAAAACAAAGTGCAACTGAACACATGCGTGGTGTGTTCATGTATCCTTTGGGTTGTCAGAGTGAGCTTTTTATTATTTTAAAATGGAAACGGCTTAAATGACATCAAATATAGTGAATAAAAATACAAAGTCAGAAGTTGTCTATTGAAAACAAGCAACTTTTACAGCTCTCGGAGAGGCCCCATAACCTTTATGCTTCCTATCATTACCTTTATGAAGTGTAGAGGTTACTCCAGGACGTTGGCTTTAGACAGAGGGTTAACTCACACACTATCTCAGCGTTTTTCTTATGAAATGTAACCTTGCCTTAACATTTTATGGCCCAAAGTTTGCTTTATTCGGAACATTTTAAAGCGCTACAATGCCACATTCTTGAAACAAAAGAATTCAGGTTTCAAATCCATCCTTTCCAAAGGTTTCCTGCTCGCATGGATCTCATCACTTGTTGCATATGTCACAAGTATCCTAAAGTTTCTTCTTCTTTTTTTAAGGCCACGCTACTGTAACCGATCCTGTCGGTTTCTCCTTTTCCGAGTTGCAGGAGGTGGTCTCATGAGGTTTTTCGTCTCTAACTCGCTGAAGTGTTTTTCATGGGAGTTTCTGGTGGCCTTCAAGGCTAATTCAAACTAACACTATTCCTGACATCCAGTGTGACCCTACAAATGTCTACATAGTTCGTTTGAGACAAAGGATCACGGTTTCTTTGGTTCTCAGGGGGGTTCATAGGTTATGGGAATTATCAAATCACATCATTCTGCTGACAGAGACAAGTGTGAACCTCTTTACCGACATGACCCAGTTCACAAAGGGCCACGGCTTTCCCTTTCTTTATAACATGCAGCGCACAATATCCAGTCTGTGTTAGACTCCATAATGACAGCATTGTGTCCACAATTTGAGCTAAACAGATAGATGAGTTGGCATCCTACGCTGTCTGTGTAACATCTGATATCGCCGCTGGCAAAACATTTAGAAGTTTATCTGCAGGATCGTGTTTGTTTGCAGTGGCTTCTTTTACACTGATCACAATCAGTATAAAATAATGGAGTTCTTGAAGAGCGCACTGTAGTTGTATTTCAGTGTGGACTCACATTGTACATCCAGAAAGAGAAAAACACTACACATGGCTGTCCACTTGCAATGCAATGCCTCCCCCTACAGTAAACACGTCATATGCAGTTTTTGTTCATATTCCTTGTAAGGCCCTTTTTCTTTTGTTGAAATCTTTATAAACCTTTAATCTCTTTTTTCATATGACTAAAAAAGTAACATTAGGATATGTTTGTAGTTTTGTGAGGGTTTTTTTTTTTTTTTTTTTTTGGAGACAGGTGTGGCACTGTGCACTGTGGCAAAACACATTTCAAATGCTGTTCATTCAAATCTCTCAATATTTCATAAAACTAAGAATCGTTAATAGATTTTGAAGGCCTTGTCATGTCAGGTCATGTCACGAACTGTTACCCAAAATACAAACGGGCAGACGAGGTCTTCCGACAGCAGAGATTGGAGCAGTCTCTGCCCGTTAAACTAACATTTTGATAAACTTTGTTTGATATGGCTCTAATAGCTCTGATGCCAAAACACATTCAGTAACCTTGACATATTTGGGAAGTACAGTCAGCATCATGTTGAAATGTTGCAGTTTGAAACGAGTGAAAGCAAGCCCAGCCAGGATTGTACAGTTAAAAGATTTACGTTACATGATAGTTTTGTGCAGCCTTACTAAATGCACGTCTTTGGACTGTGGGAGGAAGCTAGATTACTGAGCAAGAACCCACGCAAACAAGGGGACAACATGCAAACCCCACACAGAAAGATCCTGGCCAGCCTGTATATTTGATCGCAGAATCTTCTTGCTGTGAGGCACCAGTGCTAAACACCACTCCAATGTGCTGCCTGTAGTGGGGTTAATTCTAAATTACCCATAGGGGTGAATGGTTGTCGGTCTCTCTGTGTTAGCTCTGTGACAGACTGGCGACCTGTCCAAGATGTACCCTGTCTCTCGGGCTTTTGGATTTTGGAATTTCCATGTTCTCACTGAGTCGATGCGTGTC